AGTGATTTATTTCAATATTCAATACCATCACCATCCGATAGCAGTTCTACATCATCGTCAACACCTTGGATATTAATATTGTTCGCCGGTACTACACAAAATAATAAATGGGCAGAAATGACTCGTATACCTCTTGATTTTCTGAATTTTTCATCGTTTATTGAACAAGATATAACATGTCGATTTGGATGTGACAGTTTAAGTACAATTAATTTACATCTGACGCCAATAACCACAATAAAAATATTTAAAACTTCTATCGAAGACGGTCGAAAAACGATAATTGAATCAGAAAATACAGTCGAACAAAAGCTAACAGCTAAAAGTGAAGATTCATTTATTAAATTAAAAACAGAATATCAACATCTTCGTCCATCGGATAGAAAGATAAAACTTGTCAATTGGCTAATGGATCTCAAAAATAAATGTCGTGAAATCGAAAATATAAGTCCACAAGAATGTACAATACCATCCGAACCCAATTACAAAGTTATATGTCCGCAGGAAATCAGCAATGACGTACCCGAAATTCAAATGCAAATCGATAAGCAAGCATTGAATGTATCATCAGCCCCTACGCATCATTTTCTCATGACTCAACTAACATCTGAATATGAACAATTAAATAGAACAATTCTGGAAACTATCAACATATTGAATAATAATCTTGATGATAATCAACTCAATCGAATTCAAAATGGTATAGTTCGACGATTTGATTCAGCTGATACATTGAAAAAAGAAATGAAAATCTTCCAAGAAACATTTCGTTTCGAAAAATTAGCAACAACTCTTGCCAAACTACATGATACATCGATTGATGTACAAAAGGTTCTACGATCGACTTCTCATTTTCAACAAACGCTTCCTAGACCAATCGAACATGGATCGCCCGTCGAATTGTTTGAAAACGAAGGCAATATATCTAAAAAATCTCGCAACACTTTTACACATCACAAATGCGTACATTACTTGAAAAAGCAAATGTATTAATTCACAATGAACATGATTTCGGTGTACAAATATATCATTTATTGATATCAATTGAATTAAATTTCATACAATTAATTGCTCATACACTTGAAACAAAGGAACATTGTGAATGAAAAATTAATCTGATCGAGACAATAAAACAACATTGGCATCAAAAAGATCAACAAAGATTAATCAGTGAAGAACAATTAGATAAATGTCGAATAATTATCAATGAAACAATTACTCTCATTCATGAACGAAATAAACAAATGAGTTCAGTAATACAACAACAATCGCGTATAATTAATCCACATAACATCAAGAAAGTTGTTAATGTTAACTCATTTCTACAATCGACTTATTCACCATCGACTAGTAAAATAATTATTACTAAACAGAATGGTGAATATTTTGCATCACTTTCATCAATTGTCATACGAATGGAACAAATTATTCAGAACTGGTCTTATAGACAATTAAGAATGAAAGCCATTGAAATTGTTAATAATAGTGATGACGAAATTGATTTCGAATTTTTATCAAGTTCAACAGAACGTTCTTTATCTGTATTTATTATTGATAATTCTTCAAATGTTGTTGCTCTGCATGACTCAAATAGTATCAAAATTACACCAAATGTTCAAGCTAATGAAGGTGAATATCAAGAAAAATGGGAATTAAAATTAGCAAATAATCGTTTGAGCATACCGATGAAAATTTGTTGTAAAATAGAGCCATTTTCTATTGTCATCGATCTACCAGTGATGGCAACAACAACTGACGATCGACAATCGAATCAAATAAAAACTTATTTCGTTGATTTTGGAGTAGCTCTTGCATATCAGGCACATCAACAATGTAAATTTACTATTAAAAATCCAATGTCTCTCGATCTTTGTGTTAAATTACGTCGAAAAAATGGTGCAACTGGTATATTTCAAATTGACAATAAGCATTCGAATTTTTTGCTCTTTGCAGATGAATCAAAAGAAATAGCAATCGATTGGATTGTTCAAGATATTGTTCAAGATTCGAAATGTATTTATGACATTTATTTTAGTAAAGATTTTAAATATCAGATTTTATGTTTGGGTAAAATACGCAAGATCTCATATGATCTTCTTTATAAATCTCATCGTCTAACTGGAAAACAATTTCGTGAAGAATTACAGCCATGTCTTCCCGGTACGATACTTTATGAAGAATTAATAATAAAGAATACGGGTGAAGTTAAAATGACAATGGAATCAAAAGTTGAAAATTCATCAACAGCAGTTGTTACTATTCTATCACATGAACAGGCTCTACTGGAAACGAATACATCTGTGACATTAAAAATTGACTTACAAGTCAACAATGCACATCGATCAATCGAAAATCTTATCAATTTATATTTTCCTCATGCTACTCAACAACCACATTTCAAATTAATACTAAATACAACGGCTAGTTGGCCAGAATTAGATAGAGATCTTCTAAATCGATTTAAGGAGGTGGAAGTTGAAGAAAAAGCAGACGAAAAACAAGGTCAAATTGTTCTTTTGAATAAAAGTCCAGTTGAAATGTTGATCGATGATTTACATTCATCATCATCACATGTCATAGTTGATACTCTCACATCGTTTCCATGTACAATTTTACCCCGACAAAAAACTGAATTTAATTTTATTTACAAAGTTCAAACGAAATTAGCCACATTCGATTGTGAATTTATTCTAAAAACGAATTGTGAACAACAAATTCAAGAGATTCCATTCTCTTGTAAATGATTAGCTCCAATAATTTCATTTGACCAAGATATTCTTCATTGTGGTACAACAACACAAGGTTCAAAAATTGAACCATTTAAAATTCTAATAAAAAATGACGGCCATTATCGTGCTCAATTGGAATACGAAGTAAAAGAAAATCCGATATTTTCGTTTAAAATTAACAGTAATTCAGCTAGTATAGCAATAGCTCCGCTTCAATCGCGATCAGTTACATGTATTGTTGAAATTCAAAGAAAAGCTCCTCTAGGAAATTTTCGAATTGATGTACCACTATCAATTTGTTCATCAAAAAAAATATCCAAAAAATATGAATTAATTGTTACAGGTCGAGTGGAAATGAAAGAAAAAGAGAAAATAGAACCAATTGATCTTCCGTTATCATGGAAACATATGTCACAATCAGAAACCTATAAACGACTGATGAGTCTATTAGAAGATAATTCAAATCTACATCGACAAAGAGCCATAACTGCTGTTGCTCTTATAATTATTCAACTCAATGGTTTAATACATTCCGATCCGAGACCTGTTAAAATTCCAGACAATTTAACATGTGATATGATTTTATCAGCAATCGAATCTAATACACAGTCATTAACAATCTACACACATACGATTAATGAAAATATCAAACAGACATTTGATCCGTTTTCTGGAAGAACATGGAGTCAGTTATATAATAATATTCGGACAATATTGAATGAACGATTATCTAGTGCAACTATCGGTATAGAAGGAAAGACCGAAGCCGAAAATCTCTTATTGGCCATGAATTGTGCAGAAAAATTATCGATTCTATTCGAAGAACATTCGCAAAATCCTAATGAACAAATCTTAGGACGCTTATTGGAATTCGAGAAGAATATGCTCAAAGATAAAGACAATGAAAAAAAGATGAAAAAACGTTTACTCAGTTATGCATCAGTATTAGTGATGAATCAAGATGAGGCACAAAAGCTATCGAATAAAGAAAAGCAACAAGTAAAACTGATGATGGATAAAGTCAGTCATACCTTTAAAACTCTAGAAGAAACCAATAATCCCGTACAAGCATTTAGGAATCTTCTAACGTACATGACTAATGAAACAAATCGAAATTCAATCGAATTTCTTGATCAAATATTACAGTTAGAATCGGATGAAAAGCCGGTAAATGAGAAAATTGTTGTGCAAAAAATGTACGCATCTAATTTGCCATTAAACGATACTCAATTAGTCACACAAGCTATCACTGCATCAGACGCTACGCTTACAGCTAGTTCCGTGTTTGACTTTATTCAAACGCAGTTAGATGTTACTAATGAATCGAAGAATGTTGTAGAATTCATGAAATTAAGTGAAAAAATGTCCCATGACGATTATCAACCATTAGCCAACGATCTATTAACGTTACCATGTGTTCTCGCTTCGTTATCTTCTGATTTAAATCCAGCCGAACAAGAAACACTTCATGGTTTGCAGCGTCTTATTTCACACTTGGAATTAAACGAACAGGCGACAGTAATCGTGATTGGTCAAAGTTGATCGATGATTTATGTACAACACTCAAATCACATCTTGGTTCAAGAATTCTTGATTCACTGAAAACGATGCTTACGATCGTTCTTCTAACCGATCAAACATCATTTTGTACAAATAAAATCTATATTCATATTATTTCATCTATGCTAAATTTTGGTAATGAACATTGTCAAATATTGTCATGTGATTTGAAAAAATTATTCGAACAAAAAGATTTATTTATAATTGTTGAAACGATTCTATCGATAACACGCCATCGTCGTCGATTGACATCTAAACAAATTCTATTGATTGAAATTATGCGAGAAAAACTTGTCGAATTTCGAACACAACTGACTTCGCCAATGTCAATTTCAAACTTTGTCAGATCACTTGAAGAATCAATTGAAACGGGTGCGCCATAAAGAATGGCCGTCTCAGTATTTTGCTTATAACTTGGTTTGGATTTGTTTCCGAGACTCGATGTTTTTCTAAAAGATGCGCTGCGAAATTCTCTACAAATCATACCTAAACTATAATTTCAGAACTTCAATCAAGAAAACTAAGCCAATTAGATGAAAGTAGAAAAAAATGTAAACTTTCTAAACTCAAAATTTTTTTCGACTTGAACTTTTTCTTCTGCTACTATTTCCGCTAAAAAGTGTAGCAAAAATGAGAACTCAGTTTATGTGTGGTACTTTCAAATGTGCTCTTTCTCGTGGTCTGTAAAAACACTTTTTTAGAGCAGATGGTATGCTCGAGAACGAAGTTACAAAATACATCAAAAGTTGACAACCTCCCCGTTTCCAACAATATGCTCAATCAAAAAACGGAAAAGATGATTGAAGTTTGATTTTGCAGTTAGATAGAGAAGAGCAATCATTTCCGATCAAAACAAAGCAAACCCGACCGAAAAAGCTTTTATTTTGATGGAGTTATGGGGCTTTTACTGAAAGCACTACTATACCCAAAATTTAAAAAATTAATGAAAAAATGTATGACAACCGATAGAAAAACTATTATTTCGCTGTGACTTTTGATGAGAAAAAATTTGAAGTGGCTCTAGTCATTATAGTTGTAACGCTTTGGTGTCAATTTGATATGATTTTAAATGTTTATTTAGAAACTGAACATGACATCCTTTGCACAAAAATAGCGTATATTTATACGAGAGTTTACACGAAAAGCGGAATATTCTAGAATTGATGTACTAGACTGGGAAACTGGGGATACATGTAAGCGATCACGGAGAATAAAGAAACCAAGAACTAACACTGGGGAAATTCCTGATAGAAAAGAACTAACGCTGGGAAATTCGTCATAGAAAGACAGAGAACGAAAGAGATACATATAGTTGATAATAAGAAATAACACTGGGGAAATTCCTGACAAAAAGAAAGAGAATGAATATATATATATATGTATGATACCTATCATACAATTGTCTCTTATGGCAAGTCTTTAATATGTGTCAAAGCAGATATGATACAATGTAGGATCTTATATAAGGATATCTGACTTGGTTGCTTATGTAAGAGGATCTCCTTACATAACACCTCCCCGTTCTGTAAGATGAACAGGTCCCGTTCATGAGAAAACAACAAAAATTGTCGACGAAAAAAAAATAATAAAAAAAACTAATGGAAATCTTGCTGTACTAGTCTATTATTCTTCTGTCACTGTTAACCATGTGCGCAGTTATAGTTGTTGTTTCATTCTATATTGCATCGTATTTATTTGTTCGTCACTTATTCTTTTTTGTACCTTTACTAATAGTGACTATAGCTCCTGGTAATAGTCCGCCGTCGTCGTCTTGTGTTTTCATTTATACATATATGTACATGTTTGTTCATTTTCTTCAGTTGTTATTGTACTTGATTTATAAAACACACGTCTCTATTGAGATAATTTCAAGTGCAAATTCGGTGAAGTAAGTTAGTTGTTCCGTACCCACTAATATGTTTGATGGCTAATAAATATTCTAATTACTAATATGTGGCGCCTTAATTAAGAACTAGAATAAAAACATAGGATGATACCATATTGTCCTGGAATCTGCTTGTGTTTTGCATGGTAACATGATGGATGTTAAATAAAGACTACATGTATTAAGCCATGTCAACCAGTGAAGGCTAAGGAACACTCCCCCGATATCGTGCTCGATGTCTGTAGGATTTATTTGTCCCCAATCTCTGCATGTAAGTTGATCAGGACTAGTATCACCTATCATTCCATGAATTAGTGGCATTGATTAAATTGTTCTTTCATATACAGGTTCCATTCTGCTAACGTGAACCTGTTGTTGAATTAGCGATTTTTGATCTTCCACTAAGTATGTAAGAGGATGTTCTTTTTGTATAACTTTGTACGGCCCTGAATATAATTCGCTAAATTTCGGATGTTTACCCAACTGTTTAATAAATACCAAATCACCTGGATGATAGGTTGGGTCAGCTCGTTGTTTGTCATAGCGTTGTTTTGACAATTGTTGTTGGCTAGTGATGTTGCTCTTAACGCATTTCTTGTAAATCTTCATCAACTGAGTTATTTGAGCCCAATAGTCGCTTGGTTTTGCGAGTGTAATACCTGATGTTGGTTGATCAAAAGGTAAAACTGGTTCACGAGCGAACATCAGTTGAAAAGGTGAATAGCCAGTTGTACCATGTTGTCCGCTGTTGTATGCGAATATGCATGCTGGCAAATATTCATCCCAATGATTAACATTTTCATCGTGTAATTTTGCTAATTGTGCATAAAACGTCGCATTGAAGCGTTCCACTTGTCCATTAGTCTGAGGATGATATGTAGTTGCAAATACATGTTTGCACCCCATCAGTGATGCAATTGCATCCATCAGTTCATTCTTAAAATGCGTACCTTGATCGGTGATTAATTTTTTCGGTACGCCATATTTCA